AGCACAGCGGGTGGCCACTGTCTCTGGATTCTCCTTCTGGGCCTCCATGCCAGCCTCAGGGCGGGTACCCACGGGAGGAGACTGCTCCCCACTGGACTGTGAGCTCTCAGCACACACAGTGCACAGGAGAAATGCATCTTTTTTTTGTTATCCTCGGTTCCCAGAACAAGGCCCCGGGCACGGTGGCAACACTCCCGTAAGCCCAGCGGCTCAGGAGGCTGAGGCAGGAGGATCGCAAATTCAAAGTCAGCCTCAGCCACTTGGCGAGACACCGAGAAACTTAGCAAAGACCCTGTCCCTAAATGAGATATTTCTCCAAAGGGGTTGGGGGTGTGGCTCACTAGCGAAGAGCCTCTGAATCCAATCCCCAATACCCCTCCAAATTACTGTATGTATAAGAGGGGTCAGACTTCAGAAGTGGCTGACTTTGGCAGGGGCCCTACATTGTTCCCAGTCTACCTTTTGAATATAGCACTTACTGTTTATTTAAAATGGACAGATTTTTCTCCTTCTCCTCCTCCTCCTCCTCCTCCTCCTCCTCCTCCTCCTCCTCTTCTTCTTCTTCTCCCTCTCGCCAACAAGATTAGAGACACGGTGCTCTCTTTTCCTACTCTAGTTAATTGTCCTTGGGCACACTGGCCACAGGAAGGACTTTTCTACCAGAGGATGTAAGAAGTAAATATCTTAAATACATTCAGGGTGCTCTGGGCCCCCCCCCCCCCTTTACAGCCACGGGGTCAGAACCAACCCCCGGGGTCTCTCTCCAAAACATTCTTTGCAAGGCTCCAGCCCAGCCTCTTTCCTTGAACTTGAAATTGGATGCACATCACGGCAGGAGTGTGCGTGTGGGGTTCTTGGGGGTGGGGGGGTGCTGAAGTTCCCAATTGCTAACACTTGAAGCCCCTGAGCCCCCCTGAAATGCTGGGGGGCCTCAAGCTATTACGCAGCCCAGGGAAGAATGCACTCGGGCAAAGAACGTCCTGATTAAAAATCCAAACATTTTCCTGATGAGACTTGTCTGTGTCAGGACCATCTGTTAGTGGAATTCAGAAACCTCCGCTGCTCATTTGTTGAAGAAAAAGTCGATTTCTGAACAGAACAGAGCCCTGAAAACACTCTTTGTTGGGGGCCAAGGTGAAAAGCTTCGTGAGAACAGGACCTGAGGGTAGCCTCAGGATCCCTGTGACCGGTGACTCGGTAGCCCTGTGCGCTTCTACTGCCCGTAAACCAAGTTCCAGGAGGCCGCAGACTTCTCTAGAATTTCATATTGAACTTCCATCTTATTTTCTCTCAGTCACCCTCAGCTTTAGGTAATAGATGTGAACGTGAATGTGATTCAGATGAGAAATGTTTAACAGAGATGGCAGTGAATTGTCCAAACACTGAAGAGGGGCGCTTTTCTGTTTTTCTTTCTCTTGTCTGTGCACATTATTGTCAGACCTCTGGGCTGGGACTGGTGCAGTAGCCTCTGACCTGAACTGACCTACTTCAGTCTTTTCTTTCTGTTGGGGACACATCTGCTGGTCACCCATGCACACCTGTCCTCCGACCTGCTCAGGAGCTGCTGGGATTACAGACGTGGACCACCGTGGCCCGCCCTCAGCTCCCTTTTTAAACCTTCTGGTCATGTCAAAATCTGCACATTTGCTCTGGAAACATCTTTTTTTGTCTTAATTCTCTCTGTTCGAAGAGGAACCTCAGAGCCCTGGTTCTGAGAATCTCTCACACATTCCCCTCATCCAAGAAAAGGCGGAAGGAGGGTCCAGTAAGTGAAATAGAAAAGACAGCAAACCTCGTGCCTCCCCCTTGCAGATTCAGAGCTCAGCAAGTCCCCTGGATATTGGATCAGAAATCAATCAGCCAGGGTGCATCTTCCTCACCCCATAAGATGGCAGGTTTGGCAAATACATAGTGAGGAGGACCAGATCACGTTTCATTTGAATTTCCGGTAAATTTGCATGTGACATCGTTATATCAAAAAAGTTGACATTTTAAAAAATCTGAAATCGAGTTTAACCGGGCTTCTTTTATTCATTCTGTCAATCCCAATACTTGCAGAGTATCCCGAGTTTGAAAAATCAGCTCCAAGTCACTCGGTGCAACTCTAAGTCCCTGGGTACACTCTAGGTGTACTCTAAGTACACCAAGCAGAAAGCACAATTTGCAGTCAAGGGCAGAGAAGCAGCCTCACTAGTCCACTTCAGAGTAGAAAGTCCACTTGCACCTGAGCTCCGTGGGCCCTCTTTGCAAGACTTCTACACCTGGAGGCTCAGTCTAGCCCCGATCACCTACCTTCCTGCCTTCCTTTCTTTTCATGTGGTACTAGTAGTTGAACCCAGGACCTCCTGCATGCACTGAGCTAAACTCCGGACCCTTTTATAACTTTTCTTTTGAGACAGGGTCTTGCTCAGTGCCTGAGCTGGCCTCCAACTTAAGGAGCCTCCTGTGGGAGCCTCCTGAGTAGCTGAAATTACAGGTGTGCACCACTGTGCCCCAAACCTGGCCATTTTTCAACAGTTTGTATAGGATTCCTTTCTTATGGCTATGTGGGCATGACTCTGTCTTTACTTGTTTATCAAATATAAAAACCTAGAGTCCTACCTTCCTCTGTTGCCCGAGCCATGAAATGCACTGTCTACTGAAGTTCAAGTTCAACTTCAGGGCCTCGTCCCTTCTTCCATCTTGTCAATCACTAAGTATCGACCTCTAGGTGTTGAAATGTACCGGACGGTTCCAAAATCCAGTCCTGACTTCCTACCTGTCTGTGTTCCTTTGGGCTTCCTCTGCTATCCCCTCTCGGCCTCTAATTCACAAATGTAAAAGAGGGACCCAAATCTGCCTCTCTCATGGGTAGGAGCAAAAGACACTTGGACAACTGGGAAAATAAAAACCAAAGACCCCACTATTTGTTGGTGAAGACGTATGGATCTCCTGGCGTGGTTTGAGTTATTCATCACAGTGGGTGAGAATGGGTAGAGAGACCCCCAACTTAGAGAGATGGGGCATATCACATTTGATCGCATCGATACTTAAGTCCCTTCGACTTGCAAATTCCAGATCTCTTATGTCATCGGCTTTTAAAAATTTTTTTTAAAGCTTTCTTCTCTGTTATTTGTATTATTGTGCGACATGTCCATGGTTTGGCTAAGCCGGCATTCTTTGAGCACATTTCAGCAAGGAAGAGCTGGTGTAACTGGGGAAAGGTTTGTAGGGATTCAACTCATCTCCTGCCAACCCACATTTGGACAGTAAGCATAACTCACTCATTCTGTCTTGATAAATGCTTACGGCCACGGCCCCTTCCCAGGCTGGGAGAATTCAGGGCTTTACCCGAGGAACCAAGGGGGGTCCTCCCTATCTTCTGGTCTGTACCCGGGGCCTGCAGGCTCTGTCAGAGCAAGATGCACTGAGAGAATCCAGCCATCTGGAGTCAGAACAGAATGTCCTTCTACAGAGTTGAGTCACGCACGGGCGGATTACACACAGAGGAGAGGGTTAGGGTGGGAGACTCAAAACGTTAAATGAGCAAAGCAAAATTTCCCCAGTGTTGTTTCATTCAGGGAAAAGAAAAACCAACAACCAACCTCAGCGGGTGACACATTCTATCTGAGAGTATCACACGGGGCCATGCCTGAGACCTCCCCTTGAAAGACAGGTGTTCAGAACCAACTTCTGCAAACATCATTTCCAATTTTCCTTGACCAAACTACTTTTCTCGATAGGTGCAGGCTCCGTGTGATCAAGGTGCTCGGGCTACGTGAGCACCAACGGGGTCAGACACTTCCTGGAGAACTTGGGTATTGTGCAGAGGTCTGGACGTGCCAACCAGAAACAAAGCTGCCTGTCCCCCACGACGGCTCACGAGCCACACGTTGCCAAGGTCCCACCGTCCCGCTGCTCAGAGGGGCCTGGTTCTTGTTCTCTCCGAGGCTCGATCCTTGAGTGTTTCCTAGCCTCCTGGGATCTGCCCTGTCATGATCGTTAGCTCCTTTCCTTCTGCTCAAGTTGGCCAAGTTGATTCTGTTGCTTGCAACCCGCCGACCCGACCTGCCGCGACCGCAGCAGCAGCAGCCCACAGATCAGACGAGTTTCGGGGCAGGTACCTTCAGCCCCATCAGACCCACCTGATCCAGAGGCCGAAGCCAGAGGTGGAGGGAGCTCATCAAGGCCTAGATGGTGAGAAGCCAGGCCTTCGACACCACGCTCTTCTGTGGCCGGTCTGCTGTGGCCCACGGGCAGGCAAGCGATGCCAAGTGCCCCTTCCAAGACCCCTTGGATCCATTCATCCACGAGTCCTTGACTGCAAGGCATGGTGCTAGGCACCAGTGGAGAGTCCACGGAGGAGAATAGCCACCTTCCTGCCCTCGGTGAGCTTACAGTCTAGTCGGGAAGACAGGGCGCACAGACCAGGAGATGTCGGGGACCATACAGGCGTCGACGCTGCCATCCAAGATAACAGGACGAGAGTTTTCCCAAAGTAGGTTCCCGACGGACGGGAGGGCTGCAGCAAATTCAAAGGAAGGGCATCACGGAGGTCAGGCGTGTGGGAGACTTTCACAGAGGAGCTGGGCAGGGACCTAGCCCAGGACGGTGGAGCTTTGGGTGGGAGGGAGGTGGGAAGGGTATTTCGGGAAGGGGGCAGCCGTGGGACCCAAAGGCACAGAGGTGAGACCAAAAGGAAGAATAGGGAGGGCTCGGAGTGAATGGATCTGGAGTTGAATTGGTTTAGATGAGGAAGAGAGTTCTGGGCTCCAGTTTAGACTTTATCCTTTTGGCCAAGGGGTTGGGGGGGGGTGCAGCAGGACATTTCTTTGTGGATTTTTTTGTTTTTGGTACTAAGGATTGAACTCAGGGGTACTCGACCACTGAGCCCCATCCCCAGCCTTATTCTGTATTTTATTTAGAGGCAGGGTCTCACTGAGTTGCTTAGCGCCTCACGTTGGCTGAGGCTGGTTTTGAACCTGCGATCCTCCTGCCTCAGCCTCCCCAAGCTGCTGGGATTATAGGTGGGCGCCACCGCACCCGGCTCTTTGCGGATTTGGACCGTCTCTGCTGCCAAAGAGGATGTGAAACGGTGTCTCTGGGGTTGTTAATTCCGAAGGGACAGCTCTGGGTTGTCCAGCTTTGGGTCATGGCCAGAGACTTTTGAGTCCTTCTGTGATCCCAAAGGTGAGCTAACACATTCCCTGGCAGGAAAAAGGCGCCCAGAAGACAAGTATCTTTACAAATGACAGAATATTTATTAACAATACCTTTTAAAAAAAGATTACATATGCTAGGTCACTGGTAAATATCACTTACACTGGGGGAGGGTGGGTGGGAACTACCTGGGTGGTCATTTTTTTTTTTTTACTCATTTTATTATTTTGCTGATTTTTTCTTTTGCGTGTGATTTTAAATTTTATTTTATTGGAACATAGAAGTAACCATATCCAACTAAGAAAGGAACACAGCTTGAAATACTGACAATATATATATCTAGTTTTCCCCCCCGCCCGGTTACCTGATTTTGACACCGGTCGAATCCTGATCGCATCTTGATTGGCGAATGTAACTAGAAGGTTGAAAAAGTTTAACTTGTATTATTGGTTAGCAAAACCCCAACCCACGACAGGCAAATTTTGAGATCTCTGAGAAAGAAGAAAAGCCGACAGATGTTTACAAGTCAAAGTTTTTATAGAAAAATTGCATTGCCTTTTATATCAGGGTTCCACGAACACCCGTTTACAAAAACCTCCCCCAATAACAAATAGCTCTTTTCATAAGAATATGACTTGGTGGATATTGTCATTTTTCCAACGCGTGATTTCTGGAGAACTTACAAGGTAAAAGCTCATAAAGCAACAAGGCTAGAGATTGCAAAGCAGGAGATTCATCAAGATACCAGACAATTGTACTAAAGATCTTTTTATAGAGTCATAGGAAAAAAAAAATTCTCGGCAGCACTTATTCTGCTGGAACAGGAGAAATCTTCCAAACTGCATGTGTGACTATGATTCAAAAGAAGGGTGCTAGTATTACAGAGAGAGACGCGTATCCTCTATAAGAAACTGTGCCAAGAGAGGATGAATCCATCGACAGAGAAGGACTTCTTTTAAAATTCACATTCCAAACAGATACATGGAAAGAAAGTAAAATTATCATTTTTGTTTTTTTTTAAATCCTTTGAAAAGACTTGGGTGACTATAGTAACTTTGGATCTAGGTTACTGCAGGATCGGTCACTTCAAATTTAACGTCTAAGGTAATGCTACTACGAAGACGATGCTAACTTAGTCGAGGGAAACAGAAAGTCTTACCATCCGATGACGAATTCATAGTATGAGAGTATGAGGATATTGTACAAGGTGCCTCTTGGACAGAAAGTGTAGCTTTCGAGACCTGCAACTGTTGCTAAAACCATCTCAAGTTGTATTGAACAACAGAATTCACCCTGAAGGCAGGAAACCATATTATACACGTCAAAAGGATTGGATTCAATGCATTAACCAACCAGAGAGTAATTTATATACAGCAGCCTTGAGTTAGAGACCCAAGCTCTTCTGCCACCACAGCCTTGTCAAACTCTACAAATCATTTGCAATGTATTTACCAAGACGGGCTTCCAACTCTTACAAGGAAGTATTTTCAAATCATAATTGTATACGGTTGTGTTGCCCGTAACATTTTTTTTGTTTATAGCAGAGGAAAAAAAATTAATATCTACATTATATGTTAACTTTAAAAAATTCTATAAAACACTAAATATATAATAAAAAATATGCATATAAGGACATATGTAAACTGCTTTGGTAACATCATATTACAGATGTCTTCAGTGCATTGCAGAGTTTCCAAAGAAACCTCAGGACAAAGCTAGATTTGCTTTGAGGAAGTACTGTAGAATACCATTCCTAAAGAAGCAAAAAACATTTTTTTTTTTCCAGTAGTAATAAGATGTACTCGAACAACAATATTACTTAGTACTGGGTGTCTTCAAAACAACTAGCTAAATGTTGCTTAGAGTATAAACAGCAAGTCCTTTAGAGACCGTTCGTCATAAACTAGACCTGGCTGTGAGGGAGATCATGAGGGTACTGATGGCCGACAAGGTGCACGCGTTCGACGTGGAAGCCCCCGAACCTCTGGCATAGAAATCTGCAAAGACAGAAGGAATCCACTCAGCAGGAATCCACCCAGTAGGTAGTCGCACACCCCGCTGCCGCTGCTCCAGAAAAATCTTCATTAAGGTTTTCCAGAAATGCACACCCTAACTGATCTTAGGACCATCAGCAAAGGAATCTCTAATAAAAGGGTTCAAGGTGGTGGACTGAGATCTGCAACCATTACAGAGAAAGCTTTTCCCTCTGCACCTGGCTGCAACCTAGTCAGTCTGCTTCCTGCTGTCACTGGCGTCTAATCTCCTCGGTTCCCACTATAAGTCAAGAGGGAGGAGGAGACACAGGGCTTCACACAGTGGCTGGGTCCCCCCCCATTCCCCCCCCCC